ATTTACAGTTCTCTATAAGCATCAAGTGAAAGTAGGACGGCCAGTTCTCTTCATAAAAATGAAGTGTCAGCAGAAAGAGATCTTATTCCACTGTTGTTGGTGGCACATATTCAACAGAGAAGTGAAGACCAATATTGCCAAACACGTTGCTGTCCAGCATCAGAGGACGTCTGCTCCTGCATTCAGCCTGTCTGGACATAGAACCCAGTAAACAGTGTGCTTATGTTCTGTTCTTACAGATCAGGTGGAAGCGGAGCAGAGCAGCAGCAGCATCTTTTAAACGTACCATAAATATGTATATATGTTTGCCGGCTTCTGTTTTGTCTCTTCAGAGAGTGAGAATCAGGTGAAACCCTGAATTGTGAGAGAGCATGTCTGGTTCAGCACAAAGCCCAAAGAACAGAGAGTATGATGTGAACATTAGGCTGAATGGATGGCCTGAAACGCTGTGTTAGTGAGTGTTACTGTTCTAGTGGCCCGTCTTATGCCAGATGTGCCTCCCCCCCAAACCTCTAAAAGCTTTCTGGTGCTCCATCTGATGTGAGGCTACGAACATGATGGATGATGAACACTGAACATGAAAATGCAGTGTTCCTTTAGTGCGTGGGGCTGATGGGGACACTGAATGACAGACCAAATAAAGAAGTAATGCAGTGCGTTATGTCCAGTGTGTGCTGTACATCTACCTCGTATACGTGTGTGTGTGTTTCCATCCTGCACTCACTCCCCCAGCATCTTATAATGCTCTCCTCTTCCCACTGTGCCCTTTCATTTTCTTTTTTCTCTTTTCTTTTTGAAGCAGACCATGTTCTACCACATTGATTTGTTTGCCGGGGACTGGATGCACCTGGCCCAGCAGCGGGGGGGCATTCACATCCTAGCATGTTCACCGTGGCTCTTAACAGTTCATAATGGAGGAGGCACGACAAAGAGCACTGCTGAGGTTAGTGTTTTACCATATGGGGTGAGGAGGGGGATGAACAGCCATATGGATCGGCTCGGCAAGGTCGGAGTGTGTGTGTGAGTAGAAAATAAATCCAAACTGGGAATCGTGTTTAGCAGCTGGGTCGAGGTTTGGTGAAGAGTTGAGGAGTGTGTGTGTGTCGTGGATTAATGGTCAGCTGCTTCTAAAGTCTGAAGCTAAAACACTGAACAGTTTCCTGATGCTGCTGTTACCGTCTCTCTCTGTTCTTCTCATTTCTTGTGTCGTATTTGCTGGTTAGATTTATTCTGTCGTGTTGCTCCTGCCCACCTTCGTCTCAGATGTCTGTCTCTGAACACATTTTAAACCTACTTATCTGTCATGTCCCACAGTCTGTCTGCGTGGTTGGTTTTTACTAAAGAACGGTGGATCTTCTGCTGCGCCGTGTCCCGGCCGCCCCCAGACGGACCACGGTACCACAGCGACCCATTACAGTGGATGCAGTCTCAGTCACGGGCCTTTTTCACAGCAGACTGATCACAGGAGGGAAAGCAGGTGTTACTAATAACACTGAAGAGCCCCTCTGGTAAAGATCTGGTGGTTTTTACCTTGTTAACATGTCCATATGGTGTTTTATATTGTAGAGGACATATCACAGGCAAACTAAGCCTCCGACGCCACGGCTGAGCAGCGACGACAGTCACACACAGATCCAGAGTTCTGTCAGACCAGGAAGGAAAACCAGGTGATATTTATTATCTGAATGGACAAACAGTGTACCTTTGATACACACAGAGGAGCGCTGGGGTTAAACACTGGCTGGAGAGGGACTTTAAATGACATTTAAAGGAGGTATTTACACAACTAAAGGGATGAAGAATAGAAAAAATAGAATACAGAATAAAACATATGAATATGAAATAAATATAAATAAAGAACAACGGGGATATTGTGTTCAGTAAGTTATTGCACTGGGAGTATGAACAGAGATTTTTCTATTTTACATCTCTTGCAGGATGATTTTTGGGAATTTGCGGGTTCAGGGCGACGGCAGCTCTCAGGTAGAAACTGTGCTTTACTTTGTCTTTATTGGCCTGAAACGCCTCCCTGAGGGTAGGAGTTGGAGGAGGTGGTGGCCGGGGTGTGAGGGACCCCTGATGATGATGATGATGAAGCTCTCCTGAGGCTGCTGGGTGCTGAGGGAGGAGAGTGTTTTCTGTTTTCCATTGTGGCCCTCCCTCGGTAAGGTCCGGTGCTACATAGCTCCTCTGGTGCTGCTGTGCTCTCAGGCTCAGGCCCTGTTCACAGCAGACTGGTCGCAGCAGGAAGCGCAGGTGCTGCTAATAACATTATTAATGGTTCCATCCACTTCAAGTGTCCCAGTCAGCCGTGATAGCGGGCCAGTGAGCCGGCTCCCAGCACCAGGAGCCTGAAGGAGAGGCAGCTAAAACGCAATTTAGCTGTAATCATTTCTGTTCAGGGTTACACCTGTGTTATGATATGAAAAAAACATTTCTTTAGTAAAGTGTTCACTGGTTTTGTTGTTTAGGAAAACAGTCCGCTGCACAAGTCAAGTTTAAACTGACAAATCTCATCATGAAGAGAATGAATCTGGATTATTTTTGGGATGAAACAGAATGCAATTCAGCTAAATAACTCCCAGCCCTTTAATATTTATTGTTTTATTGAATTTACTGTGTTTTTATTGTACACATATGTGACTAAATTAACAGCTTTATTCATCCTATATCCACCTATTACTGTAGAAACATGTGACATAAATAAACAGATAAAAACATTTCTACCTCCGACCCCCAACTTTTCCGTTATTTCAAACACTTCAGCATTCATCTGCTCAGTGATTATTCAACTGTACTTCTAACTTTCAAAGTTGCACTGAAGAAAGAAAGAAGAAGAAAATGCGTGCATGCACAATGCTCCTCCTCCCCCGGGCTTCATTAGCAGCAATGGAATTCAGTGACCCAGAAACTAAACCGAGCCCAAATCAATTAGCAGACATACACATGCATACATCTGAGCTGCTAATTACGAAGCCAGACTCCTCCTCACTGGGAGGGGTTTCTGCCTTTGAAGATGAACCAAACTGAGGGAAAAGCCAAAGTGTTTAGTAAACACTCTGTTTTTGTTGGTTTCTGTGCTGAACCAGTGTCAGCCACCAGAAGACGTTCGAGGCCTTGATTAGGTTTCAAGGACGGTGAAATGCAAATCTGAAGCTGACTGTATTAATGTGGACTTTATTAATACCACTTTTATTTATGCCAGCTGTTGGCTTTATGAAGGTAAAGCAGGATTTATTACATTTACAATCTCATATATGATAACTGAGTCGTCCTGGAAGCTGCTTATGTGTGTTATTAAAATACCTTAACAGCAGTGCCACAAACACACTGAACACGGACAAACCCAGGGAGTGGTTCTGCTTTATTATTGCCATCATACTGCATTGGATCGGATGCTGTAATGTTCCCCGAATCGCTTGAAGCAACAAATATAGTGGTATTAAACATTCATAAATACTCCGGCATCCAGTCAGAAACAAACAGAATCACAGATATGAGATTTAAAAAAGACAGTTTGAGCTTAAACAACCCTGAAGTGTAGTGAGTTAGATATGTATAATAAAGCCTTTATCATACGTATCTATGAGGAGAGCACTGTGAGACGGCAAGTCACTGCAGACTGTGTGACTGGTGATAGAAGGAGAACCAGCTGTTCCTAATAACATTAACAATAGCTCTGTTCTATCCGAGTGTCCCAGTAAGTCATGACATGGTAATGCTGAGCAGGAACACACAACTCCAGCATCTACATCCATTGTGTTCCTAACAATGGTGCTTCTCCTTCTGCAAAGTCTATTTATTTTATTTAACCTTTATTTTAGCAGGTGAGCTAGTTGAGAACTGGTTCTTATTTTCAGTAAATGCAAAAATGCTTTCTATGGTAATAGATCTGTGGTTCCACTATTCAAAACAACAACAGCAAACAGTTCCTATAAAACAAAGTGAGAACTCTAACCATCTCTTAGCAACGTGTCTCCAGTGTCCAGGTGTAAATGACACCTGCAGCGACTGTGCAACACAAAGAACCTGGAACAACATCACCTGAATGGAATGCAGGAGTTCTTCCACCTGTGTTGTTCCTGCTGCCACAAGCCGATCCGCCGCCTGTCAATGAATAACTTTAACGTGAAATGCATTCATGTGGTTGTTTGTTCAACAACCATTTTTTAGTCCTTATGCAGCCGCGCTGAGTTTCCACCTCTGCAGCTGCTGCATGCTCAACACATAAACTCACATCCCTCTCATTACATTCAACTGCACTTTATTCTTCACCACCAGCGGGGAAACGCACTTGTTGCAGCAGTACAGACACAGGAAGAGAAAGAAAACCAACTATAAATAGGAAGAGCTGAGAGATACAACACAAGAGCTACACACACGACATACACTACAGGTCATATAAGGGAGACTGTGATTTAAAATTAGAAAAGATAAATAAAATAAAATATGGCAGGGAGATACAGTCGTATATATATATATATATGAACAAAACACAAAAAACAAGCAGGAAACTAGCATGTAGCTGAACAGCCCTCTGAGCCAATCACCGCCGTCCTGTGACTCTCAGTCAGACCTCCGCAGGTATCTCCAGGTATTCTGGTCCACTGCTCATCACACACAATTCAAAAGCAACGTGTTATTTCACTGAATTATAATGTAGTAAATGTTTATTTATTATTACTTTTCCAGTTTCTAGGTGTTTGAGTGACTGTTGTGAGTTTTGTCTTTTGTTTAATGGAGGAGATGATTAGATCTGTAGACATTCAGCACAGAGGACATAGAGGACATAGAGGAGGGCAGTACTGGAGGAGTTAAAACAACTTTCCTCCTAAACACGTGTCTGAGCGCTAGCTGTAACCGACATGCGGATCCGCTATGTGTGCGGAGTTTCGCTGCGCGCTGAGTAAAAGGAGCGCTTCCCCTTTAAGGCAGTGACAGCGCGCGGCGGCGGAGGAGCTGGTCAGGAACTGGTCAGGAGCGGACGGCTCTGAAGGAATCTCAAAACTTTTCCAACTCTCACCGCAGCGCTGCTCCGCCGTCCTCCTCCACCTCCGCGGTGGCAGCAGACGTGTACACCGCTAGCTTAGCAGCGGATGGCCGCTCGGAAACACGGAGGAAACTTAACGGGAGGGGAGGACACAAAACAAAAAACTTGTGGAGAGATGCCCGACCGACTGCATCCCTCCCTCCAAAGTTCAGCTAAGGTGGCTAACGCTAGCTAGCGCAGGAGCTAACTGTGATGTGAAAGTTTGGAGAAAGAAAAAACTTTTGTTCACGTGTCAGAAACGAGCTGGAGACACGTCGCTAGCAGAGCTGTGAGTGAAGCCAGGAGGAGTGAGGACAGCTAATGGTTGGGAAGCTCTCATCCTTGTTGTCTTAGCCGAGCCAGGTTACACCATCAGGCTAATCATCTTTAGCCAAGTGGAGCTAGCTGACAGACGGCTAGCATCTAACTAGTGAGCTCAGTGGAGTCAGAGTGACACTCCTGGTTTGGTGGTGGCCGCTCATCTCCAGCATGAACACAGTGAGGGAAGCCTTTCTGTCATAACCTCCTCAACAGAGTCAACACTGGTCTCTCAGAAGATGTGAGGAGATGAGAAAGGTGGACCGTTGCATGAGCTGGATGAACTTACCTGCTGAGCTCCACTGATCCTGAGCAGCTGTGGACATTTGTGAGGCTTTCTAAGGACTGTCACTCCTAAGTCCTCCCTCAGCTTTACTCCTGATCACATCCTTGGCTTTTCTTTTGGGGAGAGCATTCTTCCATCTGGAGCTTCCTGCATTGTTATGATCACTGGTGGTCCCACACATCCAGAGGGCCTGAAGCGGACAGCGCCATAATGAAGGTGACGGTGACGTTTGGCCAGACAGGTGTGGTGGTGCCTTGCAAGGAGGGCTGGACGGTGAGGGACCTCATCCAGCAGGCCACGCAGAGATACAGGAAACTCCTGGAGCAGGTACAGGTCACGAGTCCGAGTGGCTCACGGTTATCTGAACACAGTGACGTAGAGCTGATGTTCTTGTGCAGATCCGGCTCATTTGTTCTGAGTGGCAGTACCACACCGAGCAGGAGGCCCGAGAGCAGAAGCAGGAGAAAATGCAGCCGTCTGTGAGTCTGTGACCTCTGAGCCGCGAGTCAGCTGCATTATTCATCGTCAGAAGTAGTTTTGTAATATTATGTGAAGACTTTCATGATCTCCAGAAAGACAGAAAAGAGGTGAGATAAGATTTTATGAAAGTGCGCTTTCATAGTGTTTGAGGTTTTCCCCGAAGTCATAAAAGAGTAATCGACAGCTCTGTCATTTTTATATCATGAAAGGCCCGGATGACTTTCACATTCCCAAGTCCTGGGAAATTAGACGGAGCCATGGAGGGCCAGCTCTCCATAATTACTGCATAAAAAATTAAAGCATATCTGATGTGAATGGTGATGGTCCAGACAGGAGGAGGCACAAGTCATTTCCAATTTAGTTGTGAGTGTAAAATGCAAATGAGTGCCGTCTTGTGATTCCTTTATGACTGCTGTTGATTCGCTGCTCTGCTCCCGGGGCAGCAACCCCGTGACCCCCATCACACGACCAGATCTGCTCAGTGACTTGCTTCATATTGGGTCTATTATTCAAAAAGCACAGCAGCCGTATAGATGGATGGCTCCAGCCGTGATTGAGATGTTGGACTGTGTGTGTGCTGGGTTTATGTGAGGCTGCAGGAGATGATGCACACATTGTTTTCCACCCTTCTTGCCCCTTCTAGACCCCCTTTTGCCTTTTAATCTGCTTTCACCCATCCATCCCCACACACTGCTCTCATGTGTTCATTCTTATCTTTACATTAGCACATCTCCTCTTTACCTTCCTCCATCCTGTGCACACAGCCGAAACACTCGCTTCCCTTTCATTTGAACCGTTCTTCCTCTTTGAGCACTTCCCCCTCACCTCTCGCTCTTCTTCATGAGATTGCTCTGTTCCACCTGGAAGCAGATTGTTGTGTCTGCACTAACAGCACGGGACATGAACAGGCAGCAGCAGCCTGAAGGTCTGGTCACCCGACCCACAAGAATCAGAATCAGAAGCTTCTTATTGCCAAGTGAGCGTGCACACACAAGGAATGTGTCGTGGTGAATGAGGTGGTCCACAACAACAACCAGACAGGAATACATGAAGAAGTCTAAGAAATTTAAGTAAAATATGTAAAAGTATGAAAGTTCTACGTAAATAAAAAGTACTGTGAAAAGAGACATAAACTCGCCAAGACCAAGTGTTAAATTAGGAAACAGTTTAAACACATGTAATGGTGACGCTCAGAGGAGTGCAACAGGAGTCTGTAGTGGTTTACTGGCTGTTGACAACCAGCCATCACTTGGTCATGCAGTCTGGAGATGTAAAGAAGAGCCACTGTGCTGATCAGTGTGTGCAGCTCAGAATGTGCAGGCTCGGCTAACTAGC